GACAGGAGGGCCTGGCGTGCTCTGGTCCATGGGGTCACGAAGAGTTGGACACAATGACTAAACAAAAACAACAACTAGAGATGGGCATGAACCGAAGGTTCAGTGGTCCATGCAGTTTATTTAGTGGCCAAACAGGTGTTTGGGGCTTCTCAACCCTGCCTCCTCCAGCAGGTGCCCACTCAAGAGGCAGCACCCCAGTGGGCGCCCCGTGGAGGAGGCGGGGCAGGGAAGCCCCAATCACCTGTTTGGCCAATAAGCGAACCGGCCCTTCATTCATTCATTCATTCATTCATTCATTCATTCATTCATTCAATTTATGCCCATCTCTAATGGGTAGAGTTGAACTGCTGGCCTGTTTCCCTCTTCTCAGAACTTACATAACTTCTTAAAAAGCAAAATTTATAACAGGGAAGCGGAACACGTAGCTTCGAGATGATGCTGAACTGCAGTTCCCATAAATCTTCACCCTTGGCCATACCAGTCCCATAAACCCTCACCATCAGGAGCTGCAGTTTGACCAAACATGGAGGATGCCATGCTCTCATCCATAGCTGACTGGATAAAAAAAAAAACAGGGTGGCACCAGCTTTGCCGCACTTAGGCTTTCATTCAGATTATCCCTGCTTGACATCCTACAGTTGTAAACAGCTTAAGAAGCAACAGACCCTTTAACTGTGGGATGGGCTTGAGGGAAAGGTCTATTTAAAGCACAGAATGGATGCACAAGAGAGGGAAGCTCACTTCTGTCCCACCCCTCACTTCCTCAACTGCTTTGCTTAGTATGTTTTCCGGGAAAACTTATTCTAAGCCCTGACTGGAAGAAAAAGCACCTTTTAACAATAGCTGCCGATAGTTGGGTGTCTACGTTTTTGGGAGCCACCCCAGCTCCTGTCTGGCAGGTGATTGTAGAGTAAGTGCCGACTCCCATCTCTGCTACGGCTAGATCTATTTTCTTTACTGGCCTACTTCACAGGGCTGACGGAAGGATAGCTGAAACAACACGCAGTAGCGGTGAGTCCCCTGGGCAGAACCGCAGGCTAGTTTCCTTGCTCCAGGACCTAATGGGAAAATGAACAAACCAATAAAAAATGCCCCCCAAAATAAACAAGCCACAAATTAGCTAAAAGTCTTTTGCACCTTTTTTTAAAAAGGGAGGCGTCTTTGATGTTAATACTGGGAAATTCCCTGATCTGTTTCAAAAGCAAATGGCCATTTCTGGAGTCCGTCTGGATTTGGGCGCTCATGAAATTTGCCCGTCCTAGTCTACACTGACAGCAATCGCTTTCCAAAACCTCAGTCCCACTGCTGGTATCTCAGTTTGCGCACCCTCCTTGGCCAAAGTGCTGCTGCCCAATCTACTAAATTGTACTGGAGCAGGATCATTGAATCAATGGAACTTTATACGCCTTTTTAACACATTGGCATCCACCCAGGGATTTCCAACACTTTCAGAACACGGCCAAGAAACCCGAAAAACCCACAACAACCATCAGACAGACAGACAGACAGACAGACAGATAATGGAAGAGTTGACATTGATTCGTTGGGCTTACTCCAGCATGACTTGCTAGACCAAGTACTAACAAAATTTCAGGCAGAGTCAACTGAAATGAAGGCTAGTGACTGCATGTAGGCCCCGGAGGCCTCTTAGTTCAGAGTACAGTATATCAAAAGAATTCAGAACAACTCTGCAGAAAAGCTCAGTGATGCAGCAGAGTCAAGGATCACCGGATTGAAGCCCTGGGACATTTTCCGTAACTAGACCATGATGCCATCTGCTGCTGCCACCATTGTCCTATAGCCTCCCTAGTCCCTCTCCGTTTAGTAACAGTCTTTGCAGCAGCTGGGAAAGAAATGTATTTTCCCAGGAATGGCCAGGAAAGTTGCAAGATCTCCCTATTGTAATGTCAATTATTTGAGGGCTGTGTCATCTCAAAAGAGCAATCCAAACCCATTAACCTCACAAAAGACCTGCTGTTCCATTTGTGGGTAGGCGCTGATCCCAACCACTTGCCTTTTTGGTTTCTCCCAGGCAGAACGGATTGGCTTTCCGGGTTGTGCATGATCAGCACATGTGCTTCCAAATCTACCGCTACACTCCTAGAAAAGCTCATAAAGGCAAAGTATTCCTCTTTTCAAAACCTTTAAAACCTAAAACACACCCGCACAGGTGTCCTCTCCATCAGCTTTGAGGATGATGTCTAGAGACCACTCCACCAGTATTTAACACCCAAGCCCTACAAAGAATACTTTTCCTAGCAGCACACAGAAGGATACTGGAATATACATTAGCAGCAGTAAGATTTATTTGAAAGCTTTAAAAAATATATATATAATAAAATAAGATTAAGCATTTGTACTGTGCAGGGAGGAGGAATCCTTTCATTCCCTCCTTTGATTCAAGATAACATCTTCAGCCCAGCCAACCCACTTTGGTTTGTTAAATTACATTAAAACTTCTCTGCTGTAAGGTAATCTCAGCATAATTAAGATAACCCCCCCCCCGTCTGCTTGCCTCTCCAACAGATGTTCCTAAAGGCAAATAATTAATGGTACCTGACAAAATAGAGGGTGAATAACATCCCACACCCTGGGTCTCTTCACCTCCTGAAGGGAGTGTTGAATACTGTTGTTATTAGTATGGTTTTAAATCATGATTTATCATCTCTTCCCTGATGATACCTAAATATTTTTCATTATACGTAAGCCCTTATTCTTTGTGGGAAGGTTAAAATGGGTTTGAGGTACTCTGCTGTTCAACCCTCCTATTTCCTCCACCCCCCATTCAAATAGCAGCTTCCAATCGAGGGCAATTTTGCTCTTTCCAACGTCAGGAAGGATAAATGCATGGATTCTCCAAAGTCCATTTTGAAGATTATCATAGCAAAGGATCAGTAGCATAGCTTCTGGGTGCTGGGACATCCCTCCCCTCTTCTCCCCCACACCAAAAAAATCAGCTCAACCATTAGCAGCAAATCCCCCAGTTATCTCCTTAGGATCTGGTAGCAGCATCTCTCTGGAATTCAAACACCTCCTTCCACCACTGTTAAAATAAATAAAGGGGACGGAAACAGGTTCCACATGAATAAAATCCTCTCTGTCCTGAACTCGCTGCCAAATGCAGCCATTCAGTCTGGACACAGGTTAAGTTGGCAAAGCCCTTTAGAAGCTCAGGTGGACAGTGGTTCCAAAGGATGCAACACGTCAGTCACTATATTCCTCTCTTTCGTGCAAAGGGGGGCATTTATTTGCCATTTTCCACTTTATGTGTTGAGGTTTCAAGTAAGCGGCCAGAGATGCTTTCCTGCTGATTTTCCTCGCCAGCTCAGGACTCTTGCCTCGCCTCGCCGGAGGAGAGGAGATCTTGGCGATAGGGCGGGCCGGAAAGATGGTTTGGCCCCGGGGGGCCCCCAAGAGCTGCCACACCTCCCCGGAGGTGGCCCCGCTCAGGTACTGCCAAGGCTTCTTGCCGCTGCTGTCCCGGATCTGGACGTGGCACCGAAACTTCTCCACCAGCAATTTCATCACCACCTGGTGGCCGTGCATGGCGGCCAGGTGCAAAGGGGTGTAGCCGCAGCCCGACCGCACGTTCATATCCAGGGCCACCCCAGCTTTTCGGGCCCCCGTGACGAAGTCTAGCAACACCTGGGCGTTCCCGTGCTTGGCCAGCCAGTGGAGCACTGTGTAGCCAGAGATGAAGTCCTTGCGGGTGGCCAGGTGGGGATCTTCAAGCAGCAGCGCCCGGGCCTGCATCCATGACCCGGCGGCCACTTTCACCAGCCAGGCATGCTCCCGGGCCTCCAGGGGTACCAAAGCAGACCTGGGCTCCACATCCAGGCTCAACCCCTTCACATCCGGGATGCTGGCAGCCCTGTGGCCTTGCCTTGGGGCCAGCCGGGGACTCTGGGGGGCCTCCAAATTTGGGGGAGGCCACCTGGCCGCCTTCTTGGTTTGCCTCTCGGGGTCTTTGGCCCGCGGTTTGCTGGAGGGAAAGGCTCTGCCAGCGATCCAACTGAGCAAGGTGTGGTGTTCGGGCAGAGTGCCATTCTGGTGGTGGTGGTGATGGGTGCCCTCTTTGCCCGAGGGCGCCCTCGGCCCGTTGGGGGGAGGCTTCGGGAAGGGCCCCTCCGCCCAGTCGCCCCCCGTCGGTTTCCTCCCGCGCCCCTTGGGTCTCCGGAGCAGGCGGCCCAGGACGCCCCGATCCGAGTCGCTGCCCCCGCTGGCACTGCTCCGGTCGCTGGCCGAGCTCTCCTGCTCGAGGAAGGCCTCCAGGTCCTGCAGCGAGAGTTGGCAGCGGATGCTGCGGAAGACCGGCCCCGGCGGGTCCCACGGGGCGCCGGGCACCGCCGGGGGAGGAGGGTGGCCGCCCCACGCCGAGCCCGGAGGGCTGG